TATGTTCCTAATATTGTTTCTTTGATTTTTCTTTTTTCTTAATTAATCTTAGAGTTTCATCAGTCTTATTAGTCATTTCTAAGAGCTGGCTTTTGGCTTTGTTGCTTCCTTATATAGTGACTTTTCAATTTCATCAAATTCTACTTTTACCTTTATCATTTCCTTTCTTCTTGGGGGGTGGTTATTCTGTTATTCTATTTCTAATGTCTAAAATGGATGTTTAGCTTATTATTTTCAGCCCTCTGTTTTAAATATAGGCTTATAAGGCTTGTACTTTTTCCTCAGAGTACGTTTTATCCACATTATATGAAAAGTGATATAAGGTATTTTTGTAATCATTTCTAACATAAAAATTTTCTTTTATCATTTATTTGACCACTGAGTAATTTAGAAAAGGTTTTCTAAGGTTTAGGCTATCTTTTTATTAATAATTTTGATTAATTGCATTATGGTCACAGATTTGTATCTGTATGATATAGTATCCTTGAAATTTGTTGTTATTTCTTTGTGGTCTGATTTATGTACATGGTAAATTTTTATAAATGCTCCCAAATGCTTGGAATGGAATAAAGATGGTGGCATAGGTAAATGCCAGTACTTGGTGCCTCCCACAACCACATCAAAATTACAATTAGAATACAGAGCAACCATAATTCAGAACCACCTGAAATAGGACTGAATGGAAACCTTACAACTAGAGAAGTAAAGAAGAGAACACACTGAGATGGTAAATGGGAGGGAGGCTTCCAACACCCACCTATGGTGGTTTTTTTTAATTAGGAAGGATACCTCGGTTGTGAAGACCTCCTGTAAGGAGCAAGGAGTACCAGCCCCACACTGTACCCTCAGCACAGGCTTCTAGTGCTTGGAAGAGAAATCCCCATAACTTTAGCCTGTAAAAACCAGCGGAGATTATGGCTGACGTGGAGGCTGTCAGAATCCTGGCAGTCCCTCTTAAAGGGCCGTGCACAGACTTACTCAGACTTGCTCCCTCTAAGTTCCAGTGCTGGGTAATGGCTTGGGGGAGGGATCCAGGGACACCAGAGAGGAACTGGATTGTCTGGCATTGGTGCAAGAACTCAGGGGCGGTTTTTCCCCCAGACAGAAGTGGCAGAGGGTTCATTGTTCCTATGCTGAAACCTCCCCTGTCACAGAGCTGACTGACAGCCATATCTGAGTCTCCATCAATCTGGCTCACACTGTTCACTTTGCCCTGGTGATGATGAGACCTTGCTCCATATAGTTTGCAACCCCACCCAAGCTGTTTGCAGCTGCTTTTCCATATGAATGGCCTGTTCTGGCTCAGGCTTTGCTTAACTCTTCCAAACAAGCAGCAGCTGGTGTCAGCATGCCCCATAACTCTCAAAAGCCCCAAGTCCTAGCATTAGAACCAGTCTGCCTGGCTTCACAGCTTGGCCTCGCCTGGCACTTCCAAGCCCAATATGAGTAGCATCCATCTGCAGATAACTCTGTAGCTTCTGCTGGGAGGTCCCAGAGCCAGTGCATCTAATGGACAGCTTCAGACCATACCAGATTACAACTCTACACATCCACCAGCTACACACTCATGGGGCAGACTCAGTGAGTACCAAAGTCCCACGAAGCAAGTTCTGCTCCATAAGGACTTGCACAGCAGCTCTCCCACTATAGTTGTAGTTGGTCCTCACAGCCAGTGGACTGGGAGTCAATTCCTCCCAGTGATTGACAGCAATCAAGGCTCAACTATAATAAGACTGTGCACACAGCCCACACAGGGGCATACCTGGAGTGACCAGCTCAGGTGACTGAAGAAGCTAAGCCACTGTGCCCTACAGGACACCTACTACATAAGGCCTCTCTGCCAATTCCAGGAGACATAGCTGCTCTACCTAATACATAGAAACAAACACAGGGAAGCAACCAAAACGCAGAGACAAAGAAGCCTTTCACAAATGAAAGAACAGAAGAAACCTCCAGAAAAAGAACTAAATGAAATGGAAGCAAACAATCTACTAGATACAGAGTTCAGAACAATTATTATAATGATGCTCAAGGATCTTAATGAGAGCTTCAAGGGACTTAGAATTTCAAGAACTTTAGTGAGAGAGAGTATCAAAGATGAAAAAGGGCCACTTAGAAATTAAGCATACACTAACTGAAATAAAGAATAATTTACAGGGATTCAACAGTAGAGTAGAGGATGCCACCAGTCAAATCAGCAATTTGGAATATGAGGAAGCAAAAAAAAATCAGAAGGGCAAAAAGAAAAAAGAATCCAAAAATATGAAAATAGTATAAAAACCCTCTGGGACAACTTCATGTATCAATATAACAACATTTGTATTATGAGGTTGTATTATGTGGCTGCCAGAAAGAGAAGACAGAGAGCAAGATATTAAAAACCTATTTGAAGAAATAATGACAGAAACTTTCCCCTACCAGGTGAAAGAAATAGACTTACAAGTCCAGGAAGCTCAGAGAGTCCCAAATAAGAGGAACCTGAAGAGGCCACACCAAGACAGATCATAATTAAAATGTCAAAGGTTAAAGACAAAGAGAGAATCTTAAAAGCAGCAAGAGAAAAGCAGGTAGTTACTTATAAGGGAGTTCCCATACAACTGTCAGCTGATTTCTCAACAGAAACTGCAGGCCAGAAAGTGGCAAGAAATAAAGTGATGAATAGCAGGGACCTACAACCAGGATGACTCTACCCAGCAAAGCTATTATTCAGAATTGAAGGTCAGATAAAGAGCTTCACAGACAAAAAAAAGCTAAAAGAGTTCATCAATACCAAACCAATCTAACATGAAATATTAAAGGGTATTCTTTTTTTAAAATATATAAATATATATTATTGATTTTTTACAGAGAGGAAGGGAGAGGGACAGAGAGCCAGAAACATTAATGAGAGAGAAATATCGACCAGCTGCCTCCTGCACACCCCCCACCGGGGATGCGCCTGCAACCAATGTACGCCCTTGACCAGAATCGAACCTGGGACCCTTCATTCCAGAAGCCGACACTCTACCACTGAGCCAAACCGGTCTCGGCTTAAAGGGTATTCTTTAAGAGAAAGAATAGGAAGGAAAAAAGATTAAAAATACAATAAAATGGCAGTAAATACATATCTATCAACAATTGATTCTACTAGTAAAAATCAAAATAAACATGGAGTCTAATGAACAAACTAAATTCGTATAATAAAAACCTAATATGCAAATCAACCAAACAGCAGAATTACAGTGTTATGATGCTCAATGTAGGAGCTGCCCCCTGGGGGTCAGTGCACTCCCACAGGGGGAGCACTGCTCAGCCAGAAGCTGGGCTCATGGCTGGCAAGTGCAGTGGTGGTGGCAGGAGCCTCTCACCTCCAGAGCAGCACAAAGGACTGGGAGTGGGCCTAAGCTCGCAGGCGGACATTCCCCCAGGGGTCCCGGACTGCGAGAGGGTGCAGGCCGGGCTGAGGGACACCTGCCCCTCCCCCCGTGCATGAATGTTATGCACCAGGCCTCTAGTTCATGAATAAAATAGAACTAGAGGCATGGAAACATTGAATAGAATGGATAATCTCCAAGGGACAGGGGAAGGGAGGATGGGAAGAGATTAAAGAACCTATAGATGCAGACAATAGGGTGGTGAAGGACTGGGTGGGAACTTGGAAAGGGGGACAATGCGGGGGGGAGGGGGGGAGAGACTCTAAGTACTCTCAACAGTATAGAAAATTGAAAAAAATAAATAAATAAATGTCCCCAGCCTAGCAGTGTGGCTTAGAGGTTGAATGTTGACCTATGAACCAAAAGATCATGGTTCAATTCCCACTCAGGGCACATGCCTGGGTTGTGGGCTTCATCCCCATGGAGGCATGCAGAAGGCAGATGGTCAATGATTCTCTCTCATCATTTTTTTAAAATATATTTTTTATTGAATAAGAGTTGTGAAAGGGCACATCCCTGTCTTGTTCCTGTTTTTAGGGAAAAAATATATTTTTATTGATTTCAGAGAGGAAAGAAGAGGGAGAAAGCGATAGAAACATCAATGATGAGAAAAAAACATCAATCGGCTACCTCCTGCATGCTCCACACTGGATTGAGCCCGCAACCCAGGCATGTGCCCTGAGCAGGAATTGAACCATGATCTCCTGGTTCATAGGTTCACATTCAGTCTCTGAGCCACACTGGGCAGGCTTCTTTATCATCATTGAGGTTTCTGTCTCTCACTACCTCTCTGAAATAAATTTTTAAAATATTTTCAAAAAATAGATGCCCCCAAATGCTTAAAATGAATGTGAATCCTCCCATTTTTTGGTGTACTATTCTATACAAGTACTAGTAGCCCAGTGCATGAATCTGTGTGTCTATAGCTCACCAGTAGCTTGCTGCCGCCCTCCAGTAGCTCTTAGCCTGCTGCCCCAACCTCCTGTAGCTCCCCGCCCCCCACCCTCTTCCCCACTTCCCCTCGTAGCTTGCTGTCCCGGCCCCTTCCTGTAGTTTTCCACTTGTAGCTCGGTGCCCCACCCTCCTCATCCGGTCGTTAAGGGGACACATAATGCCCATTTGCATATTACATCTTTATTATATAGGATTATGTTTTATAAGATCTCATGAGACCAAATTTATTAAATATGCTATTCACACGTGCCACTTGGTTACTGGTTTTTGTCTTTTTGACCTATTCAGTTATACACTGATGATCAGTTTGTCTGTTTTTCCTTTGTAGCTCTGTCCATGTTCTGTTTTATATATTTTTGAGACTGTGTTATTAGCTACATACAAGTTTAGAAATGTTATATCTTTCTGATGACTAGAACCTTTTATGATTTATGGAGCATCCTTATCTCTGTAATACTTTTTATCCGGTCACAGTATAATCAAACTAGTTTTCTTTTAGTTAGTGTTGACCTAGTATATATTTTCAATCCTTTGATTTTCAATCTTTTTTATTTCCTGTGTTTTTCAGTTTAAGGTGATAACTACCCTCTATTATTGGTCTCCCTAAATGTACTGTTTTGCCTTCTCTCCTAGCGGGAGTACATACCTGTGAAAGTAAAGAGCAGAGCCTTCTGGATCTTCTCTTGGGAGTATGCCATGATGTACGTGGGGAGCCTAGTGGTGATCATTTGCCTCTCCTTCTTCCTTCTCAGCTCTTGGGATTTCATCCCCGCAGTCTACGGCTTCATGTAAGTAGTGACCTCATTAGAAAACTCTGGAAGCTAGTTTGTTTTTCACAACTCCAGCTGGAATCTGAGTGTGAGCATGGTCTTCAGCTTTAGAACGCATCAGAATTACCTCAGGGCTTGCTAACACCCGCGTTGCTGGGCCCCACTTCTAGAGGTTTTAAGTAAGTCTGAGGTAGGGACCAAGAATTTACATTTCTAACAAGTTTTCAGCTGATGCTGTTCGGCTGGTCCAGGAAACGCACTTTGAGGACGACTGGTCTAGAGCATATATTTGATCTAGTGCCCTCTCCAGGAACATCCAAAGCGACCACCAGCCTCTGCCTAGAAGGTTTTGGTTCAGTCCCTAAGAGGAACGGATGTATTCTTCATGGCAAGAGGGTCTCTTTAAAGTAAAGCCACCTCCCATGTGTCAACCTTTTTAGAAAAAAATCAAAATGGGTTTGCAGTAAGAATTCTGCAGACATTTCCAATGCTCTCTGTATGGTATACTAAAGCCCAAGCTTCCAGGAGCTCACAGTCCAGTGGGGTGGTAGACACTTACACCAGCGGGGGAGGGGATCTGGAGTGGCAGACTCCCCTTTGGGAATCTGGACTGCTAATTTGTGTTATTATAAATCCTGGCTGAATATAATAATATCTTAGTAACTTTCAGCTCTTCATGCTCTGCCTTGAATAGGAATTTGTAACACCTCAGTTAGGAGTGAAAAGCCTCTCCTGGTTTTCTGCCGGCCACAGACTGTTCTGCATCTCATTTGACGGACGAGGAAATGTGGTTACAGCAGAAAGCAAAGGCCTGCCCTGGGGAAGCTGTCAGTGAAATGTGACCACGAGTGCTTTCCTGTTTGTGCTTCAGGCTCCATGTGTTCCCCTTTGGAAACTGTGAATGACATCAGCTTCCAATCCATATTTTTTCAATAGAAAATATAATGTAAATTTTTAGAAGAGCCAGAATTGCAGCCAATTTTTATCTGCTACAACTCAACAAAAAGTTTTCCAGTTAAACCCGTTCTCAAATGAGGTCTGGTATCCTCGCCAGAACCTGCTGGCGATTCCTCAGCCCCTAGCAGTCTCTCTGCAGTGGCCCCTGCTGTGGGATGCCGAGCAGGAATGGGGAGGAGCTGAGTCTTCGAGCTTGTTTCTCTAGACAAGTCTTTGGAATGCCCAAATAGCTATTGTTCATGTAGAACCCATTCCTCTTTTGTCACAGTACTGAGTAAACCCTGATTTTAAACATGTATGTCTTGGCACTACAATAGGGGCTGGTCTTTTGATTTCTAGCATGAATCCTTGCCTCATTTCAGATATTTGGTACATGCCAGAGTTGGGCTCAGCTGACATTTATTATAGGTTGTCATTCTCTGTCCTTATGTTTGTTAATTAGCTATATCCAGGGTGCCTATGGAGCCCCTCACATCCCATCTCTGTGGCGACAAAGGCATTCTTCACAGCCCCGTAGTGATCAGCGTCTTGAGGATAAAACAGGTGAAAGCAGACCATTTATAACGTGGCTCTCTTTTTTCTCTCCCTTTGTTTTCTTCCCTCCAGACTTTCTGTTCCAGACCTCACTCCAAACATCGGTCTGTTTTGGTACTTCTTTGCGGAGATGTTTGAGCACTTCAGCCTCTTCTTCGTGTGTGTGTTTCAGATCAACGTCTTCTTCTACACGATCCCCTTAGCCATAAAGCTGAAGTAAGTGGCTGGGCCTGCTCCCTCTCTGTTCAGAGAACCATGTGTAGCCTTCAGGTGCCTTTCAGATTGGGAGCATCTGCTCTGAGGTTTCTGCCGTCTTTGCCAGGGAGCCCTGCCCTCAGCCGCCCTGGGTGTCAGTGGCCACAGCCAGCAGTGGAGTCACACACGGGTGCAGGCTGCAGGGAGCACCCTGATATTTCTCCTCTGGGGCATCTGCACCCACACTGCTGCTGAGCCACTCACTGTTCTGGATAACAGCATAGGTTGGAGTCGGAGGTTGTCTTTGGAAAAAGTGAATTTTGTTGGGTGTCCTGTATGGGCAGCCCAGTGACAGTTTGCCAAAGGGACTCGAGATGCGTTAAGTGGCCCTAACCGGTTTGGCTCAGTGGATAGAGCATTGGCCTGTGAACTGAAAAGTTCTAGGTTCGATTCCGGTCAAGGGCATGTACCTTGGTTGCAGGCACATCCCCAGTAGGGGGTGTGCAGGAGGCAGCTGATCGATGTTTCTCTCTATCCCTCTCCCTTCCTCTCTGTAAAAAAATCAATAAAATATATAATTTTTTATTTTTTTAAAAAAGATGCTTTAGGTGGGAGGCTGGCCACCTGTAGCTCTGTTTAATCTCATCAATTTCCCTCAAAAGGGGTGTCTGTGGAGCTCTTTTCTTCAGTATGACAGAGCTAATATATGCTAACTAGCTCTATCCCAGGCACCTTTCTCTGTTTTCTGAAAGGTATTCATACCTAACCCTGCCGGTAGCTATTGGACGTAGGCATTATTTTACAATCATCACTCCCAAGGTGTACTTGAGGAAACTGACATTCAGAGAAGTGGAGTGATTTTCCCAGAGTCACGCAGCTTTTAAGCAGTGGAGCTGGGATCCAGACTCAGGTTTGTCTGGCTCCAGAATCTATGCTCAGCCCCTTGATCTGAGAGAGATCATTTATAGTAGCCCCTTGAAATAGTTTTATTATCTTAGCTTCAAAGAAGGGAAAACCGTTACAGCTAAGCCTGGATGGTCCGGAAAGGCTGGGAGAGTTTGATTTGGATTTCAAGAGCTTGAGTTCTCTGCTCTAATCTTCCTGCCGTTCCTCATGGACAGTGAACCAGTCCCACTGGGTAAAAGCTCAGAGCTGATGCTTCCTTCTCATGACAGGCTTGGCCTGGCATCTGACAGGAATCCATCCTTCCCTGGCCTAGGCTCCAGCACTCTGGCAGCCTTACCCAGGCAAGCTCTCCAGCTGCCTCTGGACCACACTCCTTGCCCTTGTTCTTGTCAGGCCCGGCCGCTGGGCTGAGGGAAGTGGGGAGCCAAGAGCATCTCTCCTCACTCTGTAAAGCCAGCTCTCCGCCAGCTCTCATCTCAACACGTGAGAGGCCACAGGCAGCTCCTAGTTAGACAACAGCACCACCACCACCACCACCGGGCTCAGAAGCAGGAGGGAGAGGATAGGAAGCTCCCTGCGGGGTTTGCGTCAGGCCACCTGTCTCTGGGCAGTGTCGCAAGAGGTTCTGGTCTCCATGCTTTTTGGCACTACATTTTTATTGGTATTTTATTTTATTTTATTTTATTTTATTTTTATTGATTTCAGAGAGGAAGGGAGAGTAGAGAAAGATAGAAGCATTAATGATGAGAATCATTGATTGGCTGCCTCCTGCATGTGCCCTTAACTGGGATTGAACCTGGGACCCTTCAGTCCGCAGGCCAACGCTCTATCCACGGAGCCAAACCAGCTAGGGCTTTACTGGTCTCTTCAAAGAAATGTTTTTATCAGCTGCCTAAAGCCCAAAGCCAGTGATCTGGATTATCTTTAGGAAGATGATCATTGAGGTAGATGAACCCTTAAAAGCTACAGGGTTGCGGGACTTTGCCAAGCTGAGTTTCCGTAGTTGCTCTGTAGAAGGATTGCAGTGTTTGGGTGTGTACATGTTTACTGGGTTTTCATGTTTGTCAGATTTACACCCATTGAGTCACCCTGCCCTTTGACCTGCAAGACAAGAATGCCATTAACCTCCAAAGAAAACCTCCATGAGCTGGGCATCCAGGAACTGTGCAGATGTAGGCCCCGTGCAGGTTGCTCAGATGTAGCTAACGAGGATGTAGACCTGGCCTCTTTCTGCTTGCTTCCCTTTTGCATGTGGTCAGCTCTTGGTGGGACCCTGGAGACTGAGCTGTGTCCCCGCCCTGCCTGACAGAGCTGTCCTGTGCTAGGCACTCAGGAGAACAGTCTCGGGGTGCTTAGGTGTTCTGAAGACAAACAGCTCATTCACTTCCTGCTAACTCTGACTTTTCTGAACCCAATTTCCTCATCTGCTCGGTGCAGGTGACATTACCTACCTCGAGGGGCAGTGGAGGTATAGAGAGAAGCACATGCAACATTGTAAGAAAAGGGCCTAGCACGAACTTAGCAGAGGAAGGGTTCAGGGAATGGTAACCATTTTGTTATGAGCTTAAGGAAACAAGAACTCCAGTTCCAGCCCTTAAGAGCTGAAAAGCTGCCCAGCTCTCACTTCTCTTTCTGGAAAAGAATTCGTCGTAGCTAAGGGTCTGTAGACCCCACTGACCCAATTGCTAGAGAAAAAGCATCAGCAAGGAAGCACTTCCTGCCCTGCGCCCCGTTGTCAGCAGGGCCTCTGGCAGGGAGACTAATTACAAGCAGTCTTTAAGCCCAGTCATAAAGAGCGGCTGACTTCATTTGTTTTTTTCCGTGGTGGCTCCTGGGGCTGCTGTGGGGAGGATGATGGGAAATGTCTCTGTGCCCTGTTTCTCCAGTGTTTGCTGAGCCCTTACCACCACCTCTGGGCATCTCTGGGTCCCCACAGGTTTTTGTTTGTTATTAAATATGTTTTTATTGATTTCAGAGAGGAAGAGAGAGGAGAGATAGAAACTTTAATGATGAGAGAGAATCATTGATTGGCTGCTTCCTGCACACACACACACACACACACACACACACACACACCCCGCCTAGGGATCAAGTTTGCAACCCAGGCATGTGCCCGGACTGGGAATTGACCTATGACCTGGTTCATAGGTTGACACTCAAACACTGAGCCATGACAGCCAGGCCACACAATTTTTGGCTCTGCTACTTGACCTGGCCCCAGTGTCTTATGGGTAGCAGAGTCAGCCCTTGCCTGAAGTTCCCTGGAGAATAGTTTTGGGTTTGAAGGAGAGAGTCAGGAATCTCAGGGGTGGGCCTGGTGCCTGACTGATCTCTGTCTGTCTGTCTGTCCTGCCCTACCCCAGGGAGCATCCTATCTTCTTCATGTTCATCCAGATTGCCATCATCTCCATCTTCAAGTCCTACCCAACAGTGGGAGATGTGGCCCTCTATATGGCCTTCTTCCCCGTGTGGAACCATCTCTACAGATGTGAGTATTCATTCCTGCCTCTAACCCCTGGTGGCAGGTACATGTCAGCCTGGCCTCAGAGGAAGCAGCCAGGGGAAAAGGAATTGAGGGGCATTTGATGGGCATCATCTCTTATGCCAATAGTACCAGGAGAGAGGCAGTGACATGAGGCATAGTAACTGCCTCCTTGGTACTATAGACTAATGATGAAAATAAAAATATCATTTATTGAGTACTTACTATGTACCTGGCCATTGTGGTCCTAAGAGTATTACATGCATGAGCTCATTTTATCTTCATGCTAGCCTTTGAGGAAAGTATCCCCATTTTGAGATGAGAAAACTGAGGTACAGAAAGGTAGAGCCACTTGTTCAAGGTCATGTGTCTGGTTAGTGGAAGGGCTAGCATAGGAATCCAAATCTGTGAGCCTCTAGCCGGTACTGTCCAGTAGGACTTTTCTGTGATGAAGGAAATGTCCTATGTCTGCACAGTTTAATAGAGTAGCCACTAGTGTGACTAAGAAACTGAATTTTTAATTCAGATTAAGTTAAACTTAAGAAGCCACACATGGTGAAGGCTATCATATTAGCACAATGATAGACCTAGGGCTTTGAACCATTTCTAAGAACTGCACTCAGAGGTCAGTAGAAAACAGATGAGCACCCCAGATTTCCGGCCTACGTGAAGACCCTTTAATCTCGATCACCCTGCTCGGGAGATGACTGAGTGGTGATCTGGCTGTGCTCCCTAGCCCCCAGGGTTTCCCTAAGTGTTGGTGGGCTCTGTAGGCTCATGACTCACTTGTCTCCAACACCTAGGATCAAACCTGACACACAGCACAGCTCGGCAAATGCTTGTGGACGGGGGTTTTAAACCCCTAATAAAGAGGCAGTGTCAGCGGCCCAGCACCCCGATTCTCTAACCAGAATGGAAAGGAAGCTGTTGGACTTTCCTCGCTTACAGTGGGTGTATAGCAAGGTGTCAAGAATGAATCCTGAAGGGCAGGCTTGTTGTTTTGGGACTGTCTGGGAGTCAACCAGGAAGTGAAACTGCCCAGCTGCCAGAAAGAAGCCTGCCTGTAAGAGTGGCCTCTGAGGAGGTAAACAGCTGAGTGGGCGGGCCCAGCAGGCCTGCTGTGCAGGTGATGGCCCGGTGGGGCGATGACCAGCCCTGCCTGACTGGGAGGAGGAAGTGGCATCCTCATTGCACAGATAAGAATCACCCAGCCGAGCGGGCTCAGGGTCAGATTGGGGCCCCTTGGCAGAGAGTAGCTAGTGACACATCATGAAGCCATCAAACACGTGAACATACCCGTTTGTGACATAATGGGTCTTGGGAACATCGAACCTCTTTCCCTAAAAGTAGAGTACTTTTTTTTCTTAGCTGTCTATCCTACACAGAGCATCTCTCCCTCTGCTAACATCTTTCACCCACAGTCTGGTCCAAACGGGCCTGCGTCTCATTTCTGGCTTTCCTGTGTGTTTTAAGGCAAATCATTTCATCTTTCCGGTCCTCCCATTTTTTCATCTGTCAGGTGGGGAGGGTATCATGAGAGTTTTAAGTTTGAGACAATATAAATATAAATAGCACTATAGTTATTATCAGAGTAATAATTATGTGGGGAAGGAGGTCTGCTGCAGAGTTCTATGATCAAAGTTTCAGGCTTGGTAGCCAGAGTCATTCAAATAAACATACCCTCAGAACTTGAAATAAGCTATTTTATGCCCTCTGGGGTGATGAGGCACAACAAAATAAGGATGGAGTTTCCAGGAACCTGGATGATCTAAGAGATGCTGCTGCTGGCAGGCTGGGCAGTGTCAGCTGTCTGAAGGCCTGCAGAGAGGGCTGGCGGCCGTCCCTCCTGCCAGTGTCCTCACGCTCGGGCGCTCACGTGTCTGTTTGGGGCATGACAGCTGTGCGTCATGACACCCAGTGAGGAGTGTCTGCAGCCTGGGCCTGAGAACAGGAGTGGAGGCTTTGAGAAGACTCTAAGCCTAAGTTAATACATCCAGACTTTTGATGTGGTTAAGAGTTCAGTTTAAACGTTAGTTACCAGTGCTAACATGCCTGCTCACATGTCCACCTTTTTGCTTTCCTCGCCTGCTCGGCGGGGAGAAGGGGCACAGGGGCCCTTCCCGGAGTGGAGGCCCCAGACGCACAGGACTCTGCGGTGCCGAGCCAGGATGAGTCACAGGACACACACTGTGGTGTTAGGGAGCAGCCTGCTGGCGGAGCCCTTGCCACCTGCCGAGGTCCAGCTGAAAAAGCCAGTTACCAAAGGGCTGGATTTTGTGTGTTTTACTTTGTTTTCATTGACTGTTATATAAATATAAAATACTATTGATAAAAAATATATAAATTATAAAAGAATAATAATACAATAAATTCCCATGTACCTTGCACCTAGTTTAAGAAAGGGAATGACACCCTAGCTGGTTTGCTCAGTGGGTAAAGCATCAGCCTGCAGACCGAAGAGTCCCTGGTTCAGTTCTGGGCAAGGCCCGTACCTCAGTGCAGGCTGGGGCCCGTGTGGGAGGCATTGATGAGTCTCTCACATTAATGTTTCTCTCTGTCTCTCCCTCTCTCTTCCACTGTCGTAAAAATCAATGGAAAAATGTCCTTGGGTCAGGACTAACATTAAAGAAAGAGAAAAAAAAGGAAAGAAAGAAAAGGAAGGGAAGGAAGAAAGGGAATGACCCCAGGACCTTTGAAGTCCTTAAATCCCCTCTGTTCCTCCCGATGGGACTGGGATTTTATTTCTGAATGTCTAAGGCTTAGAGAGAGAAAGCGACTTGCCTGAAGACTCAGTATGTCAATAGCGGAGCCAGAGATTGGATAAGCCAGCCCAGGAAAGGTAGTGGGAAACCTGACTCCATCTGGCCCGGCAAGTCTCATGAAGGGTGGATCCTTTCGTCTCGCTGGCCCTGGTCACCGCTGACATCTCTGACACCTCCTGGTGCCTGGAACAAGCTGTCCTGTGCCCTGGGTCCCTCTGCATCTTCTCTGGCATACCGCTCTAATCCTCTGGCCCGCCAGCCGGTAGGAGCGCGGAGCGGCTCCCCAGTCCTGAAAGGTCACCCAGGCCAGGAGCCAGCTGGCTGCCGGTGGCATTTCCTCCAGGCACATGGGAATGTGTCTTTGCAGGTCTCATAACTGCACCAGGAGCTGCTGTGAGCCTCTCTCAGGCTCTGTGCACTAGGTCACCTTCTTGTCGCCGGATCTGAAGTCCAGAGAGGCGATAGGCATGGAATAAAGACCCACCTGGGCTGTCAGGCCACCAGAGTTCTCTTTCAGGAAAAATGTATATCCTTTTTAGCAAAATAATTTTCAGAAGGAACACTGAAATGTAAATAGTGATATTGAAGTGGAGCAATGATAAATAGGTTTATTACTTCTGGAGGCTGTAACATTGCTTAATAATAACAACATCAACAATAATAATTCTCAGTGCACACGTTCCTTTTCCAAACTTCCTGTTCTGGGAGAGAGGATGAGAGGTCTCAGAAAGGCTTTAACCTGTCAGCTGTGAAAGCCCAGAATCGTGTGGAAATTTTGCATCATAAAAGAGGACCTCAGAGCCCTCCAGTCCATTCTAAATCGTGGGATTTCAGAAAGTTGCCAACTTTTTATTTACTGATGACCTTAAGTCAACTACCAGCCCTCGCCAGTGTAGTTAAATGGGTTGAGCATCACCCAGTGCGCCAAAATGTTGCCAATTCGATCCCTTATCAGGGTGCACGCGGGAGGCAACCAATGGAAGTTTCTCTCTCTCTGCCTCTCTCTCTAAAATCAATATAAACATGTTTGTTTGTTTGTTGTTGTTTTTAAAAACAGTCAACTACCAACCATTTATTTCCATTTCATAAAAGAGAGGGCTTTATACAAAAGCAACAACGAGCAACCAAAAAACGTGTCATTTCTCAAAGAGAATGAACCATAAATTGAAAGCATTCAGCTTTCATAAGAGCTTTGAACTACCTGTCCCGGTCACTCTCCCTGGGGCAGTGATGTCTCCGTTGCAGACTGCTGTGGGTCTCCAGCGGTTCACAGCCGTGGCTGCATATTGGAATCGGGGGAAGATATTTTATTTTTATGGGGTAAGCTTTTAGAAATTGTGATGAACCCATCCCTAGAGACTCTGATTTACTTAATGTGGCTTCCACAGATGATTTCATTTTACAACCAAAATTGAGAACCGTGTGTAAGCCATTCTTCCCAATGCAGGGAGCCCCACAACAGCATTTCAGCCAAGTCTTTGCACAGCTGATATCCGCAGCCCCAAAATTCTGACTTAGAGGGATTCCCCGAAGGTCAGGATCAGCCTGGGGAAGGGAACTGTAATTCATTAAATGCTCACCATTACCAGACTCAGTATGAAGGTTTATTTGTGTGGTGGTGTTGTTTTTTATTTTTATTTTTTTGTTAAAACTCACCCAAGGATATTTTTCCATTGCCTTTTTTTTGAGGAGGGGGGAGAGTGGAAGAGAGAGGGAAAGACAGAGAGAAATATCGATGTGAGAGAAACACATCGATTGGTTTGCTTCCGACGAGGGCCACGGCCCAAGGAGCCTGCAACCAAGGTACGTGCCCTTGATTGTGATCGAACCCGGGACCTTTTGGTCCACAGGCCAACACACTATCCACTGAGCCAAAGGACGGGGCTTTTTTTTGTGTTTTTTTTAAGGTATTCTTTTTTTTTTTAATTGATTTCAGAGAGGAAGGGAGCAGGAGAGAGAAATAGAAACATCAGTGATGAGAGAGAATCATCAGCTGCCTCCTGCATGCCCCACACTGGGGATTGTGCCCACAACCCGAGCATGTGCCCTGACCAGTCATCAATCCGTGACCTCCTGGTTCATAGGTCGATGCTCAACCACTGAGCCACGCTGGCTGGGCAAGGTATTCTTTTAATTAATTCATTTTAAATAATATTTCTTAGTTCACTTACAAATGCAATAAAGTGTAAAGAATGAAATAAAAAAATTAGCATATAATCTTACTTTCAGAGTTCTCCTATTGAATTAGAAGGGGGAAAGCACTGTGTAGTAGGCAGAATAATCTCCCTTTTCACCTCCCAAAACGATCTTCACATCATAACTCCCCAAACCTGCGACGTATCGCCTTCCATTGGCCCAGAGGCCTTCAGGTGGGAGAGTGTTCTGGAATGCCCAGGTGGGCGCCAGGGGTACATGGGAAATCTCTGAACCTTCCTCTCCATTTTGCTGAGAATCCACAACTGCTCTAAAAACTCAAGTCTGTTTTTTGTTTGTTTGTTTGTTGTTTTAATCCTCACCCGAGGATATCTTTTCCATTGATTTCTAGAGTGAGTTGAAGGGAAGGGGAGAAAGAGAGGAAAAATCTGTGTGAGAGACACAGCGATCGGTTCCCTCCTGCCTGCTCCCGTACCCCACCGGGACTGGAGAGCCTGCACCACTTCGGTCCGGGCGATACCCTAACCACTGAGAAACACTGCCAGGATTAAAGTCTATTTTTTTAAGAACGGTGAGGGAGTCAGGAGAGGACTTCAGAGTGATGCAATGTGAGAAGGACTTAATTCGACACTGCGGGTTGAAGAGGGAAGGGGTCATGAGCCTACCCACCACCCAGCCAAGCAAGCGGATTTCCCCCTGGAGCCTCCAGAGGGAGTGCAGCCCTGGAGGTACCTTGGTTTTTAGTCTGTGAGGCCCATTTTGGACTTCTGGCCTCTGGATCTGTGAGATAGTAAGTTACATTGTTTAAGCCACTAAATTTGTGGTAATTTGTTATTAGCGGAATAGAAGACACGCTGTAATCCGCCTTTGCCAGGTTTTCCTGTTCAATCCATGTAACACTCCTATGAAATTGGCGTTTTAGTCCTGTTTTAGAGAGGGGGAAGCTGAGGCTCAGGGGAGCTTGCTGACAAAGCAGGAATTTTAACCAAGGTCTCTCAGGCAAAGGCAAGCCTGTGCCCCCGTCCCGCTGCCTCCCCTCCCGCTGAAGGCCCCTGCTGCCTGGCCTCGCTGTGTGCAGGCCTCCCTCAGTGGGATTCCGCATTCCCTGGGGGGGGGGGGTGATGTTGGGGGTGTGTGTAAGAAAGAGGTGTTTAAATCACCTAAGGAAGAGTGAGGGACATTTGAAGAGCAAGACAGGAGACCTAAAACATGAATTAAGCAGAATGGAAGGTGTGTTTCTAGAACCCTCTGAGATGGGGGCAGAGAGCATGCCTTGCTGCCCAGAGGCACAGCAGGAGGTACAGAGTCCAAATCGAGGACCTCCCATTGGCTTTGGGCACAGGGAGCCGTGACTCGGGTCTGAGGTTAGCACCCAGGGCCTCTGAGGAGCAGGGGGGAGGGGTGTTCTGCACTGGGCTCTCCCTGGGTCTCTGTCACAGAGTCAGCCGCGGGCTCATTGTGACCGTCTGTCTTTGCAGTCCTGCGGAACATCTTTGTCCTCGGCTGCATCATCATTGTCTGCTCCCTGCTCTTCCCGGTCCTGTGGCACCTCTGGATTTACGCAGGGAGTGCCAACTCCAACTTCTTCTATGCCATCACACTGACCTTCAACGTTGGGCAGGTAAGAGTGAAGGGTGGCACGTAACAGGGGTTCGTTTTGTATTCATATGTGACCTAGGCTGTGGGTTCTGCAAACTAGGGGTTTGGATGTGAATGAGGGGACAGTTCCTCCCCTCAAGTACCTCATTGTCTGGTAGAGAAGATTGGGACTGAGAGCAATGGGAAAGCTGCATCTGCTAACATTAATTGGGCTCCATGCTGAGCCACTGCCTTGTTGAATTCTCACAGCAAGCCTTGGCAAAGTGTTGCCCCTATTTTATAAATGGGAATCGAGCCCTGGCTGGTTTGCTCAGTGGATAGATCGTCAGCCTGCAGACTGAAGGGTCTTGGGTTCAGTTCTGGTCACGGGCACGTACCTCGGTTGCAAACTCCTTCCCAGCTCGGGTCCTGGTCTGGGCGTGTGCAGAAGGCATCCAATCGATGTGTTTCTCTCACATTGATATTTCTCTCTGTCTTGCCCTCTCTCTTCCACTCTCTTTAAAGATCAGTGGAGAAGTATCCTTGGATGAAGTTTTTAAAAAACAAACAAAAAACAACAAATGGGAATCGAGGCTCATGAAGGTTGCCTCTTGACCAAGGTCACTGGAGGAGCCAAGAACAAAATGTAGGGAAGGCTTGGTTTCTGAGACCACCCCCTTTCTGTAACAGCGCCTGGCTACATGGCACCGAGTGAGTGCCCTGTCTGAGGGTGGGGAGGGCAGGAGCAGGGGGAGGAGAGGCTCCGGGGACAGCAGGAGCAAAGACAGGGAGCTGTCTTTGGGTCCCTGAATGGTTGGGTCTAGCTACAGGGTGAGTCTGGAGTGCAAATTGCATGGCTGGGAGTAGCAGGAGAGGAGGCCATGGGTCACTGAATGAGAAGTACCAGCCAGGAGTCTAGCCCTCCCTGACCCAGGGCAAGCCTCCCCCTGTGCTACAGAGCAGTGGTTTCCAACAGCAGAATCACTGGGGAGTGGGGGAGAGTCTTGTTAATCTGTATTGTTATGTAGTTATATCAGTTACCATTACATGGCTTTGATTGTCAGTAAAATAAGCAGATTTTTAATCCTACTTCCACCGATGTGGTCTCAGTAGATGTGGAAAACAGTCAGAAATTTGGTTTTCACAAGCTCTTCCAGAGATTCTGTTTCAGGTGGTGAGCAGACACCTCCAAAGGTCCCTGTCCGTTGTGCTGCATCCTCTCGGATGGCTCTGTCCTCAGTGGAGGCCCCGTGGGATCCGTTGTCCCGTTTACCATTCCATTTGCCATCGGCACAGCCAGGCGTTTCCTGTGCATAATGGGCTGGAAGGGGCGCAGGGAGCGGGGAGCCTGTGATGGACTGAGTAACCCCGCGGGAGGCCTGCCTCCAAGGTTAGCTGCTGGGAAAAAGGAGGGAGTTCGGGCTTCTGCTGTGAATGATGGGTCTGGTATTTCCTGCATGGACATTTCTGGCCAATTAATGTCCAGCCCAGCTATTTATCTTGATTTGTGAACAACAGGAAGAGTGATGAAGGGCTGTGGCCTGGGTAGGAGCAGCCTGTCACACAGCAGTTATTGGTGGTGGGTGCTCAGCACCTCCTACCTGCGTCCTGCAGGATCGACTTAGTGTCTCGGAGGAGGCTGGAGGCTGGTCCTGGCTCTTCAGTCTTTCTAAAACCCCCTTTTCCTTTGAAAGGGATGACTGGCAGGTGAGGGCATTGGGCCTGCCCTGGGAGATCGGAGCTTAGCGAGCGCCACTGAAATAGCCCCCAGCTTGTCCAGTCATGAGTGTCAGGTGTGGGCCGGGGTGGGTGGGATTGCAGTGATGAGGAGGCATTGTGGAACCTGCCAGAGAACAGCTTTCTATGTGCTGCCTTTGGCGCCTTTTTGAAACAAGGGTCGCTGTAAATGGCATGGAGATCTCGGCAAGTGGTCAATTGCCACTAAAGGCAAGAGGAACTGAACTGTTGGGACATGAGGATGGGACTGGGGGTGGGAAGCAAAGGCTAGGTAGATGGAGTGTGTTAATGACTCAGCTGCAGTGAAAAACCAGGCTGATTTTTGGCATTGCTTTTTATCTTAAAAAAAAATTTTTTTTTAAATATTCTTATTGGTTTCAGAGAGGACCTAAGAGAGATAGAGGCATCCATGATGAGAGAGAATCATTGATCAGCTGCCTCCTGCATGCCCCTCACTAGGGATCGAGCCCACAGCCGGGGCAGGTGCCCTGGACTAGAATTGAACCTGGGACCCTTCAGTCCTCAGGCCAATGCTCTGTCCACTGAGCCAAACCAGCTAGGGCTAAAATGTGTTTTAAATCATACAAGTCATACATGAATTCATTATTGCTAGGGAAAAGAAGTCAACATAGAAACATATGGAATGAAAATTGGAGATCTGCCTGGGCCCTAAGCCTTGCCCCATGCAGCTGAGATCACTGGGGTCCGTCTGGTGTGTGTCTGCAGACGTCCCCTGTGCATTCACACACACACACACACACACACACACACACACACACACGAGCTTTTTAGTTTATATAAAGAAATCACACTTTGCACTGCTGTTTTTCATTTAGTGATCTGGTCTTGCGATAATTTTTTTAATGGCTCCGATATCCCACGGTCAGGCTGTACCGTGATGTATCCTGATGGACATCGAGGTTGCTTCTGATTGTTTTGCTATAAATAGAAGAGTATTGTTTTGCGTATTTCTTCGCGTGCTCTTGTACAGGCATGCCAGGGCTTTCTTAGGATAGATTCCAGGGGGCGGCATTGCTGAACAGAGGGCATCTTCATTGTACATGTGGCCAGATGCTGCCAGTGTGCCCTTCAGACGGGTCAGAACACCTCCAGGCTTCCCAGCAGCAGTCCAAGGGACTGAGCTGTGGTTTGTTCAAGCACAGCCAGCACATGTGTCATCGGCCGCCTGGGGATCTGGGCTCTGGCTCGGAGCCAGAGACAACTCTGTGGGGTCAGATGCTTCCAGGGCTGCTGGCTTGGGGCTTTGCGGCTGCCACCACCCGGTCACTAAAGGGGTTTGTCAGGTGGGGCCCTTATTCAGCAAGCCGGGCACTAAGTCATATTGCTGTCAGGGAGCATTGGCTGAGGTAGGAGAGCAGCCCTTGTCATGAGGGTTGTACTTACTCTGCCCTCGCACCTGTTGGTAGTCACAGGGTTTAAAGCTAAGACATTCGGAATTTAGGATGTTAAATGTCACCTCCTCATGAGGTTCCCCTGCCCCGCTGTATGTTTAGCCCCCTTTATCACTCTTACCCAACCTATAACTAGACTGTTTATTCTTCTCACTCTGCCTGTGAGCTTCCTAAAGGCAGAGATTGGCCTGTCCTCCACTGCAGGGTCCCCAGCTACCAGTGCTTGGTACAGAGTATTGTTTAGCAAATATTTGTTGAATGAATGAACGAATCAGAGATAGCCAGGGGGAGCATCATGTGATTAATGGACAAATGTGCAGAGTAAGCACTGGAGGAATCTGGAGGGAACAGATTTTTTCCTGTTGGAGTGGTCAAGGGAGGCCACAGGGAATGAGGAGCAGCAGCTGGACCTTAGGACTCCGAGTGAGAGGGAGGGGAGCACCGAGAGGTGGCAGGAGGGAGCCAGGTCACCCCAGTGGCTAAGGTCAGAGGGTGACTGCTCTCCCACAATCCTTCTCCAGCTTCTGCCAGAGCCTGGGAGTGAGACCAGCACCCGCTCCTCTGCTTCAGTCTGACCTGTAGTCAGTGTTGCCATTGAAAAGCATGGCGTTCAGGGACTGCCAGGCCCACAGCTAGCTCTTCTCAGCTCTCCTGGCCGGACGGCGCCAGGGTCCTCCTGTCCCCCGGCGCTCTCCTGAGGCCTGTGAGTGGGTTTCCAGCAGGCGGCCAGAGCCAGGCCGGCACTGCTGAATCAGGAGCTGAATATAGGAACATCTTGGCCTGTGGAGGTAAGCCCTGCTCTGTTAGAGGTGGTCAGTGCCATGGCCTGTCATGGAACAAACTATTGGTAGATTACTAGTTTCACCTAGATTACTAGTTTCACCAGCAGGTAAACCACTAGTGACCTCGGCCCACATCCTTCCCCCTGGGGCCACTAAGTGTTTCTCAGCATGTGGCACGGATCATTAGCTAAATGTGCCTCAGAGTCAGTGACCAGGAAATGACAACACCGGTCCGTAGAGGAGCGTGTGTGTGTGTGTGTGTGTGTGTGTGTGTGTGTGTGAGTGTGTGTGTGTGTGTGTGAGTGTGTGTGTGTGTGTGTGTGTGTGAGTGTGTGTGTGTGTGTGTGTGTGTGAGTGTGTGTGTGTGTGTGTGAGTGTGTGTGTGTGTGTGTGTGTGTGAGTGTGTGTGTGTGTGTGTGAGTATGAGTGTGTGAGAGTGTGTGTGTGTGTGTGAGTGTGTGTGTGTGAGTGTGTGTGTGTGTGTGAGTATGAGTGTGTGTGTGTGTGTGTGTGTGTGAGTATGAGTGTGTGTGTGTGTGTGTGAGTATGAGTGTGTGAGAGTGTGTGTGTGTGTGTGTGAGTGTGAGTGTGTGTGTGTGTGTGTGTGTGTGAGTGTGTGTGTGTGTGTGTGAGTGTGTGTGTGTGTGTGTGAGTGTGTGTGTGTGAGTGTGTGTGTGTGTGTGTGTGTGTGTGAGTATGAGTGTGTGAGAGTGTGTGTGTGTGTGTGAGTGTGAGTGTGTGTGTGTGTGTGTGTGTGTGAGTGTGTGTTTGAGTGTAAGTGTGTGTGTGTGTGTGTGAGTGTGTGTGTGTGTGTGTGTGTGTGTACACTGACATAGATTGGATGATTGAGGTTCCCCTCCACCTTCAGCAAATGATTGAGTTTCTCTGGGTGGCGTTTTCTCCCACCTCTCAGGGTGTTGAAAGAATTGGACATGTAACGTGTGGTCCTGTTGCCATTATTCATGTGTCGACATGGGAAATAGCACAAACTTCCTTTTCAAATACCCAGAGCAATTTCCTAGGAAACCATTCAGACCCAGAAGCAGAACAGCCTCCTCTCCTCCTTCCCCCACCTCTCCCAGGCCCCTTTGTTTCTGACCCTGTTCTTCTGC